TACTGTCAAACTAGTACGACTAGTACGATTAGTATGACTATAATCTAGTCATACTATTCGGACTAGTTGACCTACTCATACTACTCAGACTCGACATTTCATGCAATCCAATTATACTAGTTGAACTAATTAGACTAGTTATAATAACCGTTCTAGTTGAACTACTCATACTAGTCGGACTAGTTGGACCCAATTATATAGCCATTTAACAACAAAATTTAGGGTTTACCAGTGGTGGTGGTTGCGACGACGAACTGATTGCCGGTTCTGGAATCGGAGGCGGGCCGGTTGCCGGTTGCACCGTCGGAGCCACAAAAGTTTCTTCTTCTCGTTCAGTCACCGGAGGCAGACTTTCTTCTGCTGGTTCAGTCACCGGAGCTGCCGGAGGCAGAGCACTGGACATTGATTTCTTCTGCGACTTCTTCTCTTTTCCTCGCGGTGCCTCCGGACCCTTTCTTTTCTTCTTTGCCGGCAGATTTGAACTTGATGGCAGCGGATTTTCTTCTTCAACTTCAGTCACCGCACCCGCCGGAGGCAGAGGCGGAGCACTGGAAGTTCCGTCTTTTGATTTTGATTTCTTCTTCGGCTTCTTCTTTTTTCCTCGCGGTGCTGCAGGAAACTTCTCCGCCTTTGTTTTCTTCTTCGCCGGCAGATTTGAACTCGACGGCGGCGGCGGTGAAGTATGATCCGCGAAGGCGTTCTCAACCGAACCCCTTTCTTACGCGGCGCCATGAGATCGATAAATTAGGGATTTGATTGGATTTTTGATCGGTGGTTTGGGTTCTCGGAGAAGATGAAAGATGGAAAGTTGGTGGTTTCTCGGAGAAAATGAAAAGTAGGAAAAGTTAGCGGTTTGATCGAAAAATTAGGGATTTGGAAGTTGTTTTTTGTTTGGGTTTGGGCCTGATTTAGATTTAGGTTTGGGTTGGATTTAAATTTAAGTTTGGGTCAAAATCTAATAGCTATTATTTAGTTGGTTTGTAATTTAGAGGATTTCAGATACCCTTCGTCGTCATTTCATGCATTTTCGTTTAAAATATAAATCAAAAAGAAATTAAATGTTATAACAGCTGCATATCAGATTATCTGCTTGTACTGAGGGCATATCAGATTATGTGCTTGTATTGAGGGGCATTTCAGATTAGAGCCTGTCTAACTCGTCGTCGACTTTCGACTTTAGTTTCTTCGTTTTTCGAGCGAAGTGCTCAAATGCAACTTTTACAGAAAAATTGATCTATGATGCCATCATATGATCTAATGCCACTCTTTCATTTAAATGAGATGTGATATTACAAATTAGTCCTTAGTCAAAGTTAAAGAAAAATTAACCAAGTAAAAATAAATTAGTAAAAGTAAAAGAAGTATAAATAAATAAAACTAAAATTTGAAAAAAAAAAAAATTGAATCATCGATTCCTCTGCCGCAGCTCCAGCATCCCCGCGAGAGCTCCTCCTCCCTCTTCTCACACAGGCTCTCTTCTGGTTTTCAAGCTTCTTCCCTGAGCTTCTTTTCCCGTCATCTTTTTCGTCCAACCTAGATCGACTCTTTCTCCACTTCGTCTGACCCAGAATTCCAGTCTTCTTTCTGCCATTGTTGAAGATCTCATATTTTGAAGGTGATTTCTTCTTTTTCAATTAGAGTGTAAAATTAGGGCTTTAAATTTGAAAAATTAGGGATCTGGGTTGGTAACAATGTATTCTGGATAGATTAAGCCATAGGTTCGATAATTTTTGAAAAGAACGTGGTTATGTTAATCAGATTGATATGCAAAACAACGAAACTCGTGCTCGAAATTCCCAGATTTTTGATAGGAAAAATGGTACAAATGGTACAACTGGTACAACTGAGAGCGAACTGGAACAACTGAAAACTTAAGTTCAACTGGTACAAATGAGAGCTATAGTTCAACTGGTACAACTGAGTTCAATTTAGTTCAATTGAGTTCAACTAGTACAAATGAGAGGTGTAGTTCAACTGGTAAAACTGAGTTCACTTTAGTTCAACTGAGGTCGACTAGTATAACTGGTACAAATGTGAGGTATAGTTGCACTGGTACAACTGAGTTCAATTGGGTTTAACTGGTACAAGTGGTACAAATGAGAGGTGTAGTTCAACTGGTACAACTGAGTTCAATGTAGTTCAACTGAGTTCAACTGGTATAACTGTGGTACTTTGTGTTCAATTGAGTTCAATTGAGTTCAATTGATCAACTATTTTCATTATATTTTCAGGAGAGCATGAGCACCAACCACACAAACATATATTTTGACTATGGAGGGAGTTATGTTATATGATGAAGGGGAGTTGAAAGGGTTTACAAGTAATTCCACATATGATATACCATTTACGAACTTATCATTAGAGAAGAGAACTTACTCGACATTAGTAGATAAGATATGTAGGAAGATATGGTTGACAGAGCAGCACATAAGAACTGTTTTGGGGTCCATACTTATAAGTCAGATATAGAGTGACTTATTCTAAAATGCCGCCAGAAGACTCAAGGCTGTAAATGGTATTTACAAGCTGCAAGGTTTAAGAAATCGGATGATTTCAGTGTTAGAGTATACAAAAAGATGCATATATGCTCTCGTAGAAGGAAAGACATCCCACGATTAATAGCATCTGTTTTGCACTGCAGTTTGATTTGTGTGTGTGTTTTGTAATTCTCGGTTTTGTACAACCATGTTAGACTATGTACATCTATGAATCTATATGTGTTTCAGTTTGGCGAATTTGTATGAGGAGGTTTAACTAGGTACAAGTATGAATAATTATGAGTTTTATTTTGTCAAATTTGCACTTCTAGGTTCAGCTAGGTACAACTATTAACGTTTATGTGTTTCTCATTCTCTGATTTGCACTACCAAGTACAATTGAGTACACATATGAACAATTACATGTTTGTCTTTCTCGAATTCGCACTTCCAGGTTCAACATGGTGCAACTATTAACGATTATGTGTTTGTCACCTCTGATTCACACTTTTATGTTCAACTGGGTACAACTATTAATGTTTGTGCGTTTGCCTTTCTCGAAATCGCACCACCCGGTGCAACTAGGTATAATTATTATTAGTTTTGTGTTTTTCTTGAAATTGCACCAGCAGGTGCAACTGGGTACAACTAATATCAACTTTAGAAGTGAACTAAACAGTTATTAAAGCTACAAGTTATGTGAATCAACTAATTAAGATCTATAAACACATTTTCAAGTATAAGAAAACAATTACTAATATAGAGAATATTAATTTTTTTATTTTGATATAAAATCATGTTTTCACATCAACCATCCCTTACAATATAAGGAAGATATCAATATTGTTAAGCCTTTTAGGATTAAAAAAAATCAAAATACTAAATTCTTCATACATTATACTATGAAAACGTTGAAAATAATGTTTAACGGTCCAAAATTATTTGTACAACTACACCATAATAGTTTAGGGGAAGGTTCAACTAGAAATACAATAAAATTGCAAAAGTACAACTATTAGGAATTTGGTTCAACTGCTTGCTTGAGGACAACTAAGTTCAATTTATTTTAGAAAATTTAATAAATTTTCAGTTTTCCGCCAGCGGGAAGTTTTCCGCCAGCAAGAAGAATTTGCAATATTTTAATTTTATTTTCAAAAATTCCACTTTCCCAAATGTTTCAAAACCCTAATTTTATTTTTTTGTTTCTTCGACTTAGAGAGAGAGAGAGAGAGAGAGAGAGAGAGAGAGATTAGGAGAGAGAGAGACTATTCCGAGAGACGATTCCGAGAGAGGAGATGAGAGAGACGATTCTGAGAGAGGATACAAGAGAGACGATTCCCAGAGAGGAGACGAGAGAGACGATTCCGAGAGAGGATAGGAGAGAGAAAATGCTTTAATTTTTATTAAAAAACAAATTAAACAATTATGAAAAACCATAATTTGTCATCAGTTGAACTTAATAAAACCCAGTTGAACCATAAAACTCACTCAGCCGAATCATGTATTTCAGTTGTACCTCGTTACTTGTGTCATTCGTTGTACCTAATAAAATCCAGTTGAACTTAACAAAACCCAATTGAACCATAAAACTCACTCAGTCGAACCATGTATTTCAGTTGTACCTTGTTACTTGTGTCATCTGTTGTACTTAATAAAATCCAGTTGAACTTAATAAAACCCAGTTGAACCATAAAACTCACTCAGTTGAACCATGTATTTCAGTTGTACCTTGTTACTTGTGTCATCCGTTGTACTTAATAAAATCCAGTTGAACTTAATAAAATCCAGTTGAACCGTAAAACTCACTCAATCGAACTCAGTCAAACTATATTTATTTCAGTTGTACCTCACAAACATTAGATTTTTCATAATTTTCACAAAAATCCAGATAAAAAATTATATAGTTTGATGTTACTGAAGCTCCACCATTGAAAGACTAGCAAAATTAATGTTGAACACCACGATTTTAGCACTGTCCATGATAATGGTGGCCATGTAACTTGGATTCTGCTTGTTCCACTTAATGAAACTGACTGAATTTTTTGCCTTTTGAATATGTTGGCTAGCAATCACACGACAAGCAGGATCATGCTGCAAACAGAAGGAAAACTGTACCCTCCAAAAAATCATGCAAAACTTTAAATAAAAACCAAACACTTACTATAGGATCTTAAGCTGGATAACACAAGAAAAACAAAAATGTAAAAAGCACAATACCTCGAACAATAGAAAGTTAAATGCCAAAATGCAACCACCAACAAACATTCCCAAGTTGCTGTTTGGATCCAAAATAATCTGATCATCTTGCACAACTCCTGAATCAAGGCTCCCAAGTATTTCTACAAAAAAGGAGACGATAGCTAATAAGACCCAAACATGATGAAAACAAAGAAAAAAGACCTTAAGCAAGTGAGCAGCTAATCTCGTATGTCAATAAAGAAATTTAATAGATCATATGGTGAAGACAGAGAGGAAAATCGGTTAGTTAAATGTTCAGTTAGCTATGTATCCATGTCTTCACCAACTTCCTTCTAACTGATTAATGAGCTCTTCCAGCTTCGGCTCAAATATGTCATCGCAAGACTGCATAAAGAATATGAATCTCGTCAGGACAAAAAACAAATCCACACATCATCATTCATTGAAACCTAAGGTAGAGAGAATCATAAAAATTAATTAAGTTGCAGAATTTAGAGCCCTGAAATTGCTACAACAGCCATTGTTGAACTAAATCTAAAAAAATAAGCGGAGAATTCAATAAAGAAACTCGACACAGCAGCATAGCTTACAGTATAAGAGATGTGCCAAGAAACTCACACGAATCTACAGAAATGACAGGACTAAACTTTAAAAGAGTACAGAAAAAATATCAGAAAATACAATTCAACAAAGAACGAAGAGGAAAATGGAAAACCTTAGTGAGAGAGAGCAAGTAGAGGCCGAGGCTGTTATGTTGAGAAACTGAAGATTAAGGAAAGGGAAGAGACATCGGAGCAGAAGCGCGCATCCATGGCGGTGGAGAAGCAGCGGAGAAACGATGAAGCTATTGAGGAGAAGCTGCCGTCTGTATCGAGGAGAGACTTCAGATCCGTGACGAGTTCGTAGTAAAATTAACGAGTTCGTAGTAAGATTAAAATTCATCGTCTCCTCTTCTTTCAATTGAATCAATAAAATTAGAAAAAAAAAATAAATAAGAACCGATGAAAAGTATGAGATGATAATTGAAAGAAAAAAAAAATAAATGGATTCTAGTTGAATTAAAAAAATTGGGTGGTTGAATTGTGTAATTTTTCTAATTCAATAAGGATTTAAAGAATATTTCCTGCGTTTTGATTTAAAAAATAAAACAAAAATATATTGTAAATAAGATGAGATTAGTTTTTCTCCAAAAGTGGCATCCAAAAGTGGCATTTCAGCCGTTGATCCTCGTTTTTCCTCAGAGAAATCAATGTATCATCTTGAAATTCAATATCTGATCTGTTGTCGGTGACAAATCCTCACTTCGATTCCCACAAGTATATCACCATCGAGTTTCAAACTATTTCAGGTAATTTGTCAATTTAAGTTTGCTTTAGTCTCGATAATTGAGTCGATTCTGGTGTGATTTTGAAAGAAAAGGAAACAAATCTGAGTTTTTCTACGGTGCTCTCTTCTTCATCAATCTTCCTCCGCAAACCCATTTCACATGATTTTGCAATTGAGTTCGTGATTGTAACAAGCTCTCTCATACTCATCTTCATGTTTGCTTGAGAAATCGCTATGTTTGCCCTGATTCGATGTTTTCTATGCTTCAAACATCGATTTACAGAACCAGAATCCGATTTTAAATTGGGGAAGGTGTGGAGCTGAGTTTTGATGGATGGTTTCTAGGTTTGACTCCAATCAAAGTGCAGTCATGAACCAAGAAACGAATCAGTACACATTATGGAAACAGAGAGAGCTTGTTCTTATAGCCTTATACGCCGTCGCCTTCTACGCCTATGCTCTACGTATATCGCTTCGTCTGTCACACGGTAAACTTCAATTTCATACAATGATGGGGTTTCGGTATAGAAATCTCAGTCATTTGATTTGATTTGCTGATGATTTTTGATTTTTTTTTAATTTAGATCACTACTTGAAGCTCTATGGTTTAGCACCTGGCTGGCTCATTCCTAATCGCCGTAATGTAACTTTCTGATTCCTTATTTTCCCAATTTTTCAAAGTATCTCTATGGTTTGTTACTTTTGAAGCTTAAATTTCGTTTTGGTTTTAGGATGTTTCTGATGCTCAGTGGAGGAATTTCCAAGGAAATTTGCCTATTCTCAGCTTTGTTTTCGCAGTTTTCACCGTGATTGCGACTGGGTTTAGGTGTTTTTTCCAGTTGAAAGCTAAAGGAATGGCGATCTTGTGGCTTTCCTTGTCACTTTTATACTTGATTTACTTACATGGAGCTTGGTATGCTGGTTCCATCTCTTTCTTTTATTGCTTCTCAACATCACATTGTTTCTATATCTAATCTGACTTATTTATGTATTCTCTTCTAGTGTCATTTACATTCTCTCGATCGCAACGGCTAATTTCCTTCTTGTTAAGGTATGTTCACTAGGATTTACCTTCAGACATTAATCTTGGTATATTGATGGTTTTGATCCTAAGAGTAGAGCATATCTCAGCTTGTCACTAGATTAGACATTAATCTTGGTATTTTGAGGTGATCATAGTTCACTAGATTTACATTAATACAGGTTTTTGCAAGAACGAAGTACTTTCCTTTCATGCTTTGGAGTTTCAACATATTCTTTCTCTTGTGCAATCGCATCTATGAAGGATACTCGTTCTCCATTTTCGGGTGAGTCATGTTACATCTCATAATTGACATATATGTGAGCCTGATGGTTGCGGTAAACCGTAACGCTTTGATTATTACTCTTTTTGTCCAAGGCAACAGTTTGGATTCCTGGACAGCTTTCGGGGGACATTCAGATGGCATATATGCTTTAACTTTGGTATTTGTTTGTTCCTGTTACCCTTTGACTGCATATTTCTCTATGTCAAGTCATACAATGCTATGTTGAAAACATACAAATTCACAAAAACACATTGGTATAATTTTCTGCAGTTGTTCTACGCATGATAAGTTTTGGATATGATTATCACTGGGGTCAACTGGATTCTCATTTTGATCAGGAGGTGAGTTTCCCTTCATGATGCGGCTCTTTTACTCTAATTTAAGAGAGAACGAAGAATGTTATATAAGAAGACATTCTCATTGCTTTTAGATTAGGTGTTCATGATGTTCTCATTTGCTACTCTTTAATTTTTCCGTCATTTAATTCTTTCCCTATGCTTCTATGGTGTTTTCTTGATCAAAGGTTAAAAGCTTATGGTGTAGCCATCTCTTGATTTAATATTTTGTTACTGCAGAAACACGTAACACGATGTTCCTTATGTAGATTGGGGAAGACTTGCTACATTGTTCGACAGGTTGACTGCGCAGCACCACCCTTTCACTTCTGTCATCAAAGTTATTTTGCTATTGTAATAATCGTCTCTGACTTGGTATAACTTTTTAGGAGAGAGGTCTAGAAAGTGACAACTGCAGTTTTTCTCTATACCTTTGTTATTTGTTGTATGCACCCTTGTACCTTGCGGGGCCAATCATAAGCTTCAATGCATTTGCTTCTCAGGTATGTGGTTTTGTTTAAGCATTAGTTTTGCATTCTTTTCATGTCTTTGTTTGTTTGTAACATCCAAAATTATTGCATAAAGTCTAGTGTTAAGAATTCATGAAGAATTAATCACCTTCTTTTTTCATACTTGATGTTGTTTTCATCAATTCTCACTACAAGTCTGTATCTTAACAGCTAGATATGCCACAGAATACACATTCAGTGAAAGATGTTGCTCGGTACGGATTGCGTTGGTTATTCAGCTTGTTGCTGATGGAAGTTATGACACAGTTCTTCTATTACAATGCCTTTGTGATCAGGTGAGACTCTTTCAGAACTTGGGTGATAATTAGACATTATTCTATTTTTTCTTGTCTTCTAGTTTTACGGGATTCTAACTTCTTTGTATTTGTTACCAGTGGTCTGTGGAGAGAATTATCTCCGGTTGAAATATTCATCGTCGGATACGGAGTAAGATGTTATTATTTTTTTCATTATTATGTTATTGTATAGCAAAACAAACTACTTTTTACTAGACAAGCTAATATCAGCTCAAGAGGCTCTTGGTAGTTTTAACTATTTGGCTTAACTTTATGCTGTAGATAAGCGATACTAACCCGTAGTGTTATTTGTGTTGCTACAGGTGCTAAACTTCATGTGGCTTAAGTTCCTTCTTTTATGGAGATATTTCCGCTTCTGGTCTCTGGTATGCTCCTTTAAAGCCATTCTAGAGATCATTTTATTATTCTAAGATCCTTTGGTGGAACGAAAGTTCTGTAGTCTTAGGGTAGTTAACCTTTGTCCTCTCAGTTGTTGATGTTTAGCTTTATGAATTGTCGATAAGTTCATGGCCATAAGCTATTTTGGAAGTATCAGTAATGTGGAACAAGTTATTTTTGGTTTCTTGGATATGATATGTAACAAAGTTATGATATGTTATGATATGTAACAAAGTAAATCATTTTCTATTAGGTAAATGGCATTGAAACTGTTGAGAACATGCCGAATTGCATTAATAATTGCTATAGCTTGGAAACATTCTGGAAAACCTGGCATGCGTCGTTTAATAGATGGCTTATCAGGTGAGAACTGGTTAATCCTAGACTCGTGGTTTCAACTTTAAGTCATAGCTACATCATTTTCTTTTAATGTCAAGCTCGTAAATAATAAGTTAAACAACTTCCATTCAGGTATATGTATATTTCTCTGGGTGGATCACGAAGAAAGTTTCTGAATGTGTGGGTTGTATTTACGTTTGTTGCTGTGTGGCATGATTTAGAATGGTAATTATCAGTTCCTTTAGTATGATTCATTTGGGATGTATGAACTTATTGTATTCAAGTTCTCATGTGGTTGATTGTTTTGTTTGTAATCAGGAAGCTTCTTTCATGGGCATGGTTAACATGTTTATTCTTCATGCCAGAAATGTTACTGAAATCAGCATCCAATGCATTCAAGGTCAGTTTAACAATGATTGTTTTATTAACTCAAAATAAATGAACTTGAAGTATGAATGTTATGGCACTTAGATATGATGGTAGCCTATAATCATATGTTCAAAGACAACGAAAACCTATTCCGCTGAAAGTTGATGTCTTGTCCATGGAAACTGTAGTTAACATGGTAACTACTGGTGCAGGTTCAGAGTCCTTTTGGAGAAATCGTCCTCCGTGAACTCAAGGCGTTATCTGGTGCAATCAAAATCACATGCCTTATGGTAAATAACTTTTTCTGAATAATCTTAGTCCCATTGGTGTAGTTGCCTTAATGCAAAAGACTGAGCTCCTCAATTGCAGATTGCAAATCTTGCTGGCTATGTCATTGGACCATCAGGTCTAAACTGGTTGGTCTCCAGCTTTTTTAGTAGAGAAGGTATGAGGAAACCCAACGGTTTTATGTTCTTTGTGTTACGATCTAATTCATTAATGCTCATTCATTTGACATCGCAGGGTTACCTGTTCTTGGCGGCGTGTTCTTTAGCTTTTACGTTGGTACAAAGGTAACTAAACTAGTGCATGCTGTTTTCTTCTATGCTAAATGATTCTTTCTCAGTGTTTCCTAGAGCTGGATTTGTAGTTTGATTGCTCCCAACTTTCCTTTTTTTTTTTATTGCAGCTTATGTTTCACATTCAGGACTTGAGAAGTAGGGTACATAGCCCGAAGTAGCCTAGGCAAAGAGTTATAAATTTCTTGGTTATACTCGAGCAATTTTCATTATTGTTAGTTACATTTTGTTTCAAATTTTGGTCAGATTAACTGTGTTTTTCCTTGCCTAAAGATGATGCAATACGAAATCAATTTCTGCCAAGGCTTTTTGATGGATCAGCAGTAGTATTTGAGGCGAATCAGAACAGGTGCAAATAACAGAATCCATGAGAGAGCGAGTTTGGAGAAGCCCTTTAAGGCCAAAGAGAGAAAAGTGAAAAAGATGCAAGGAACGAAATGGTAAGAGATAAGAAAACAGAGCATGACCGTTGTTGATTGAGTTCAATTAACGGCTTTAATGGGAAGAGAAAGAGAGAAACTGATTGAGACCATTGAAGAAGACCATTTGTCCCTTCTCAACCAAACAAGAACATGTTGGGATAAGACATCGGAGGATTAAGACACAACTCTGCTTTTTAGTCATGTGGCTCTAAACAGAATTCTCAGTTTAGACGGAAGAGAGAATTGCATAATAGTGACGATAATATGACGTGTCTAAATAAATATATAATTTATCTATCACTAAGGACCAAAAAATGGCAGCTTCCTAAGAATCTAAACATAATTTTTCCAATAATTTATCTTTTAACGTTGGCTTAGTTCAAGGGTAATTATAGTAACTATCATTACTATTTTCTCCTCGGTAGAGATATTCTACTAATTCCTCTAATATAACCATTTGCACCCATAATGTGAACATTTCTTTGCAAAGTACACACAACTCGGATGACAAAGTTATGTTTTTCTCCTCTCCCATATTACTTGCTATTTTGCTATTTTTTCGGATAACACATTATATTTCTCTTTTAACACAGTTACATTTAAATATAAACGTGTTATTTTCATAAAATTAAATGACATGTTAAATTTACCCGAAAAAAATACTCTCAGTTACGATTAAAATACAGTAAATTACCGTCAGTTTAAACTTTAAAGGCTACAAATTTTGTGTGGAACGTTTGAAAGGAATTAGACTTTAGTCAGCTTAAAAATAATTGCAATCTGTCTGCAACATTCTGTGATCTGATCTCTGGTAACAAAACTATATTTTACTTTGTCAAGATCTTGATCTGGAATCTTTTTTTTGGGTCAAATCTATTCTTTAAATCTCCCTAGTCTGGTAATTTAATGTTAATCTCCTAATTTTGTTTTCTTTAAAAATGTCTTTTAATTAATGCTCTCTCTGACTCTCTCTCCTCTTTAGTCACTATCATTCTCAAATAACTTTTCCATATAAACCGAAGATATCAAGTCTGAATCATCTTGTGTCTCCATTGAAATGAAGAAGCTTCTATGGAATATGACTCTGTTTGGTCTTATTCTCTTAATCCTACCTGTAAATGGGATGATTGAGTTTGATGAAATGGAGTGGTTCACAGATTTCAATGGAACAAAGATGTTTCAGACTCAAAGTGATGTTTATTCTGAAGCTAAGTTTCCTATGGTTGGACTCACTCTCATTCAGTCAGCTGCTTCTAAAGGAGCAGGTAAACATCTTTTACATATGATCTGATCTCCTTGGCTAATCTATGTTTCTTGCTACACACTTTTCATAATATCATTCGATTATCTTCGTTTTTCTTGCAGTGTGTTTAGATGGAAGTCTTCCCGGATATCATTTGCATCGTGGGTTTGGTTCAGGAGCTAATAATTGGCTTGTTCAATTGGAGGTTTGTTGCGTCATAAAGATAGTCTCTAATAATAGATATGAACAATATAAGTAGAACATGATCGTGTTTTATGTTTTGATAGGGAGGTGGATGGTGTGATACTATAAGAAATTGTGTATATCGTAAAACAAGTCGTCGTGGATCTTCTTCTTTCATGGAGAAAGAGATAGCTTTTACAGGAATTCTAAGTGATAAAACCGCGGAAAATCCAGGTTAGTGACTAATAAATCACTCTATGTGATGTTTAATTATCTCTGTTTTGGTTGCTAATACAAATGTTTAAGTTTGCAGACTTTTATAACTGGAATAGAGTAAAAGTCCGGTACTGTGACGGTGGATCCTTTAGTGGAGACAGTGAAAATAAGGTTAGTTCAAATAAACAAATGAATGAATTAAAATTTGATAACTGTTTGGACACTGATTTGTTATATGTATTTTTGCAAATTAGGGTGCACAACTTCAATTTAGCTTAAAAATGAATTAAGATATGATAACTGTTTGCACACTGATTTGTAATATGTATTTTTGCTACAAATTAGGCTGCACAACTTCAGTTTAGAGGAAAGCGAATATGGTTGGCAGCTATGGAAGATTTGATGGCAAAAGGAATGCGTCAAGCCAAACAGGTAACCACTTCTTTGTTTTTAGGATCGGTTTTGTTTGATTTTTTCGAGTTTTGGGTAGTTTCGGATAAGAAAGTTTTAAGAGTCCATATAAGACCCGGAAAAAAACTAGATTATGATCAATTTCGAGTTTTGGGTACTTCCGATCGGTTTAGATAATATAACTAAGAACCAATATATATAATATTGACAACATAATGTAAAAAGAAAACACTATCCAATTTGCATATAATACGACAAGGTAAAAATTCGAAATTGCCATATAGATTTTTTATATCATGTGATGGATGACATGATTCAAGATTTTCACCATTATTTAAGCTTCAGATATACAATACTTATGTACAAATTTATTTCTTTTTGACACTGGAAAAATGATTAGGCTATGTTTGTTTTTGCATACAGATGATGTATCTAGATGTAAATGCTCAAATATTATTCTTTTAAACACTATTAATTCATTATTTAGGTTTTGCATTTGGATGAAAAATCAACAATATCTTAAAAAATTTAGATATTTGAGATGCCAAGAAAACTAGAGTTTGAATAAAATAATTGCATCTCAAAACCAGAAGATCAAATTACTCGTTAATATGATATAAACCCACAAAACTATGTTATTCGCTAAAATTCATAGAACTAATTTTTTCCATTAAACTCTGTCAAACTATATTTTTCCACCAAACATCAATAAAATCCGTTTTTCCGTCAATTCGCAAAATCGCATCTTCCCACAAAATCTGTCAAACTGGCAAAATTGTATTTTTTCGTCAAATCCGCAAAACCGTAGCATCGTGTTTTCTTGTAAACCCCATAAAACTACATTTTCCATCAAACCCGATAGACTTTATTTTCTCATCAAATCCGCAAAACTGTGTTTTTCATAAAATTCTTAAAATTGCATTTTTTCAGCCAAAACTCGTAAATGTGTAAAATCTGCCAAACCCGATAATCATGTTTTTCATCAACATCATAGACCATCTTTAATGGCCAAATTTCCGAAATAGGGTTTTAAAAACGTGTTTAAGTGCCAAAATTCTAAAATTACAGTTTTTCGCTAAAATATAAAATCGTTTTGAGTATAGCTAGAAAAAGTTCAATTTAAAAATATATACTTTTGGTGTTTTGAGATTTTTGTATCCATATTTTTTTTTTATAATTTCAAAAACAAACAATGTTGCATCAGATATGTATTTAAATGTAAAAGCTGGTTTAAAAAACACCAAACAATGTCTAAATGATGCATCTAAAAGTTGAAATCTGAAAAGTATTTATATTGTCATATTTACTCATTCATAGTATTTTATTAAAATCAATAATAGTTAGGAAAATTTATCATTAGTTAAAAATGAGACTGTTTACCAATCATCTTCAATTAAATCTATATTGTTTCAATTTAGCATTTATTACTTTCAATGATTGATTGATAAATAGTTCATCAGTTTTTAATTGAGTAATCTTTACTATATGTGTTAAATTGAATTAACAATAAATTTGATTAAATTTTAAATTTAATATTAATAGTATATTATATCAATAGTATATTTGTTTGAATTCATATATTTTATATGAAATGATTAAATATTGATTATTTTGTTTTTATTAAATTATTTTAGAAATGATAGTGATAATTTAAATTAAAACATATAAAAAATATTAGTTAAAGACAATTACAATCATATGGGGATTAAAATGAGTGCAAGACATAAGAATTGTTACTTGTACGGTGGTTGTATGTGATTTCTAATATTGATTGATAAACTCATGTCTAAAATTCGAGTCCAATGTATAGTATTTTTCGTATTCAGTTTACAATTTTATTAAAGTGAATTTATGCATTATTATAAGAAATTATTTCACATAATAGTTTTTAAACAAATGTATGTTTTAATTTTTTTTATGTGATAATATATATTTAATCTGTTTTTTTTTAAATGGAATAGAATAGAACTTATGTGAAATATATAGGGGATGACAAAAAAATATATAAGTCAATTGGGACAGTAACCATATTAGGCTTTCAAACAAAGAATATAGCCGTATGAAAAATATAAATTAAACATGCATATAACTATTAGACAATTTTATTGACCGTTTTGCCCCTACATGAATATGGCCTAAACAGATACGAGAAACCCACAAATTACAGATATTTTCCATACTAATACTTTGATAAGCCACTATACCATTTTATTGACCAGGTATAGTATAATGGCGAAACATGAAAATTAGAATAGCAATATACGATGAAGGATTCAAGCTCGAATAAGGAGTCATCTTGTTTGCAAAGCTCAACTTCGGGATCTATTGATATAAGATCGGATTCCACCAATCTAAATATCTTTGAATCAAGATTTTCAAACTTAACGATAGAAGAGAATATATGGAATCTAATTGATTTGTTGCCTGATTCCACAAACAACAGTTTATGCTTCTGATTCCCACATGCTATTCCTCGCAAAGGGCTCAAGAAACAACACGAAACTTCAAGGTTTTAATTCCACAAAGGCACTTAAAATTTATAGGAACAAGTTTGATTCAAAGAGGATTTCTTTGTAAACAAAACAAAATATTTTTCAATTGATAAAAGGTTAATACAAAGTACAAATGCCATGAACTTATATAATGCTCGAAATAACAAAGATTTAATGGCATAAAAGAAAGCAGAAAATTTGGCCTAAGTGAATATATCTTGTTAACTAGCCGTTTGGCCTTACGGGGAAGGAGCTTGGATGGTGGCAATGAAAAGGGTGCAAATCTTAGGTTCTTCAGCCTTGTATGAACATCTATAATCTTCTGTTTTGAATGGAGGGTCGAAATTAGATAGATAAGATGGTCATTGGTCTTTGTTTCCTTTGAAAGCAAGATAATTAGGTCCTGAAAAGGAAAGTGTTTTCAAGATGGTTCCTTCTTCGGTTTGAGATGATTTGATTTTGTTATTGGTTTGATTTGGTTGTTCTAAGCTCTTGGTAGCTTATGTAGTTGTCAAGGGATGCACATAACATGTATTGTTGCTCGTGGTTTCCATATATAGACTTAAATGTGCATGAGTCGGTCCATATATGTGAATGAATAACTTTGCCAGTTTAGCTTGAACTCCTTGCATTTTAAACTCGACCGGGCATGAGTTGGCTTGATTAAAATGTCTCCCATGGCACGGTGTATTCTCAAGTTCTGATCTTGAGTAATTATTCCCCTTGTTAGCGACTACAAGCTTCTGTTGCTCCTCAGGTACAAGCATGTTAGGCTCCAGTTTAGCTCATGTATGATCTCCAGCATCTAGTGTAGCTTCTTCAGTACTGATGTTGTAGCATCTGTGAACTGAAAATCTGAAATCATCTAGACCAGACAAGACATTGTCAGAAAGAATGTGAGTTCAATCAAGTGAAAATCCGAATGGTTGTGAGTTTCCGACTATAGTCGAGTGAAGACTGAGAAATAGTCGAGGGATGACCGGGCTGGCCTAGCAGGATGGGCCAATGTCCGAGAGAAAATGGGTTTAACCGAGTAAAACTGAGTTATGTCTGAGAAAAAAGAAAACTGACCGACTAAACGTGCTAGGCATTTGGGCTCTTAAGTTTGGTCAGAAGGAAAGTATCGGATACGTTAGGTTTTTAACCGAATGGTTAGAGTTTTAGTCGAGTCGTATGGACTATAACCAGGAGAATTCCTACTGGGACCGGGAGACGTCGGTTGTGACAGAGTCACTTAGGCTGTGCGAGTTTATAAGGAGATTTTGGAGACTTTTCTCGGGGGAGCCGCCTTGTTTAGCTAAATCCTGGTGTGAGAGAGAGATTATTTGAGAGAGTTATGAGAAAAACCGAATTTTCTGAGAGATAACTGAGAGAGCTGTTCGTATCCGATAGATCGTCGATCATCACCGAGTATCGTCGATCAGCACTGCGAATCCGTCGAGTATTAGTGGACTGAACGTTCCGAAATAGGGGATTACCGACGAGATATCTGATCGTGACTGAAAGATTCTGACCGGATCGAGGGATCTAAACTGTCACCAAGAGATCACCGAGAGGAAGAAGGTTTATTGTGATAATCGCGGAGTGCGATGGTTATAGTCGAGCCATTAACGAAGATAGTTGATCAAAGGAAAGAATAGCCGATGATGAAGGGACTATGGATAATGCGCGATAGGTCTAGCTTAGAGAGATCTTAACTATAAAAGAGAGAAACATGTTCAGATCAAACTTTCACAGAGAGAAAGTCGATATTCTTTGAGATCCATCAAAAGTGATCGTTCTGCTGAGAAGACGTTCTGGATGAATAGTCAGCCAGAAGAGTCCACCGAGAGATTATGGACATGGTCTGGGAGATCGTAAACTGGGCTGACCGGATGAGCAAGGGATAAAGGACTCTAGCCATCCCTCTTCGTTACTTGGTCATGTAGGGGTGGTTGGTTGAGTGACTAAGTACGAAATGGAGATGTTGGGGAATGATCATTAACCGGTGCAGAGACGGAGCATTTGACAGCTGAGGAGATGGAAGTTGGAGGCATGGGAGGCGCCTGGTGTTGGAAGTTAAGCTGGTGCATCTGATATTTGTAAGTGGCTAAGGTACGAACTAATCTGAGCTGAGATTAGGATTTTGTGCTTAGCAAGTTAAGTGATAACTGGGTTAAAAGTATGTGAACATTTTAGTTAAGTTGTTAGTCTGATAGTTGGTTGGAACCTCATAGAGGAAATAGTAAGAGAAAAGCACAAATTTCCTAAGGTACGGTCACTGTGTGACCGGGTTAAGTATTATTTCGACTGCTGGTTAAGAAAATCGGGTCGGGGCCTTACAAGTGTGGTACCAGAGCATGGTTGGTTCTAGGACAGAGTCTTGCGTGAATTATGCTTGTCTAGGAAGACATAAAATGCAGAACGTGTTATGGAGAATAGGTAAGCGCAAGTAGTCTCGATAATAACACAATAATGGGTCAGAAATACTAAGTTTTAGAGAAGTATGAACTTTAGCTTACGGTATATGTAAGTTAAATGTGAAATATGGATAGTACATTCTGGAGATGTACGTTTACATGGTGGTAAACGGAAAACGGATAAGCTGGAAAAAGAACTAAGACATTAT